CACAAATCACTTTATAAATCATTTCATGCTAATAAGCATTAGTATATCTAAGGCTGGATTCAAGAATCTTCTTTCTCTAGAACTGTATTCATTTTTTCCCTTCTATAGGGTATAAAAGTAAACTTTTATAAGACCTTCTCCAAGACATCTAAAAACCTTGAATCTTTATAAAGATGAATAAAATGAAAATTGTTGCATGAAAAATTTCACTTTCAAGCTTCATTTTGATGCATTTCAAATAAAATATAATTTTTGGAGTTATCCTTCCTGTCGGAGGATCGGATATCCTTGAAGGGTTGGGTGTCTAACTTTTTCAGAACTACATTTAACCACATTACGCCGATAGACTCAGATGCAGCCCATGGAAAGGGGGTGGGGCTTCAATGGAAATTTTCAAAAGTAAAAAGTATTGTTTAGACAATAAGTAACCCTTCCCCCTCCCTGATGTTACGTGCCTGCTTATCATTTTGTTTATTAACAAGCATGTTACCTCTATCACGTCCTTTACAGTTATCCCCCTTGAAGCCCATTCCACGACATACTTCATTATACGTGTTGAATTTCTGGAGGAAATCTTTTGTTCCAGATTCTGCATTCGCTCTAGATAGCAGGAAATGTACAAGAATCAGTTTCAAAAACGGGAATCTGTTAAAATAAAAATACCCAAACTCATCAGTGGTTGAATAAAATTGTTCAATATAAAAAGGTTCAAGTCATGTTCATGGACTTAAAATACCATTCAAATCAAAATAGACAGTGTATATTAATTGACAATGTCAGAATATAAGAAAGTGCGACTCACGTGTACATAGCTTCGCAAATAGATTTCCCCTGTTGATAATGTATTCAATGAAATCTGAATTACTATTTATATATTGTATATAAATGAATTAAAATGTAATATTAGCTGAAGTATATCAGCATGTATTGATTTTGACTGTCATGATATATTATTTCGGTAATTTGAAATGCTATAAATCACATCAATTTATATAAATCTGTTTATTTGTTACAAAATATTCACTCACTTATTGTAAATATATAAATACACTATAAAACGAAGCATGAAAAAAAAAACAAAGAAACGTTTCTTTTATATTTCTTTTATTAAGAAACTCTTTTTATATTTAGATGTAACCGTATTGAAATATACACATATTATATGTATTATGTACATCGATATGCAGCTTCTGTCTTCGATATAAAATTTCCAATTGCATAATTTTAACATTTCATAGTCAGGGAAACAAAGCAAAGGACGGGTACTAGAACGATGAAATTCAGATATAATATACACTATATAAATACAAGATCGGAAGAAGGAATTGGGTATTTTTGACAAGAAATTGGTGCTTGTATGTTCAGATTGATCTGGTTTACTTAGGAAAATGAAACATTTACCCGTCAAACGTATTTCGATTTACTTTAAACATATTTTATTGAATAATTCAATACGGATTGGGCTAGCTTTATATATCTGAAAATGATTTTACTATTTAAACATGTTAATCTCTTATACAATAAAGCAAAAGGAAAACACGAAAGTATATAGGTTGTAATCTGGAATTAAAAAAAAAAAATACCACAGAGTTTTTTTTTATGAAAATGGAATAGTAATGGTTTGTTATATGAAAAATATCAATATTTACCTCTGTCAATATTGATATTTTTTGGAGGATAATAAACCATATTCACCATCATACTGTTTGCTTAAATAATTTCTTTAATTTGTTATTCCAGATTAAATAAGATGATATCTCAGAACTATAGGGCCTATAGAAGAAAGAAATGTATGCATTCGATGTAATAAAGAAATGTCCAATTCGTTTGAATGAATTTATTTTGTCATAACAAAACAAAAGCTACCAAAATTTCTATTCCTTAATTAGTATCATGGCAGGTTTAAGAATTCTCAAAACGAATTCAACTGTACCAATGTATTATAAACTGTTATCTGTTAAATTTATGGCAATAAACAACAAAGCTTTATGACTTACAAAATGGTCTGAACTTTTCAATAATTAACTTCCCTAATTATACAGCAATATACCTTCATCACATGCATATGGGGTTTATAGCTCTTAGTTCATTCGATACGCAAGAGCTTGGTCTATGTATTAGTATAAACAATTTTAAGACGAGATCAGTTATTGACAAACAAGTTGCTGAAACAAGAATAACAATAGTCTCGTTTAAAATCATTATTTCGCAAGTTTTTGCGTCGATCCAATGACCTTGTCAGCAAACGCAATTTATAATGAAGTCAAATGTTGACCTTTTCCATACTAATTGTTAGGTCGTTATACAGACAGAATTGTCTATGGATTTCCCGGTAATGACTAGGAGCACACGGTGGGTGTGATTGGTTGGCAGGGGATACTCACTCCTCCATGGCACCTGATCCCATCTCTGATGTTTTGGAGGTCTGTGTTTGCTCCGCCCCAATTTTGTTTTGTTATTGGACTTTTGATCTTAGATACAGTACGTTATATTTTATGATTATTATTGGAATCATTGATCAGTAACATCCCCCCACCCCCCCCCCCCCCCCCCCCGACGAAAAATTTCTCGTTATCAAATTTAATGAGAATAGGAATATTCATTTTCTTTAATGCATCAGATGAACAGAGGAATGCTTTAACACTGAAAGTCAACATAAAATAATTCTAAATATATGTGCAATAAAGTTAAGATATACTTAAGCCACCTCTTCCGGCCGCCTAAGTTTTGCTAAGATTGCCAGATCTTAGCATGTGTCTAGTTACGGTCTTAAGTTTTAGACTGTATTTAAGTCCTAATTAAGCACGGTCTTAAACTTAAGTAGCCTTTATGTTACGATCCCATACTCTATTTAATCATAGAGGCCTGCAAATATAGCGAGAGCTCGAACAAATATGGCGGACAAAATCTTTTTACAAATCGTGTTCAACTTTAAGGATCAATTTATGTAAAACAATTTTAGACATGTGCCATGACGTACAGTTACTACTAGAATTTGGCCTTGCATTAAATTGTGGAATCATATGAGTCAATGGGGTTCTGTTTGTGAATTTTATGAAGTTACATATTTCTAGAAACTTTACTGAAAAAAGTCTCTATTCGCCATGAAAGATAATTACTGTGCATAGGATTAACATGTATACTAATGCTAATATTGTTCATTACTAGCAGAGAAATCGAAGAACATCGAACCTTAATTAAAAATCATGATTCCAGTGTTTTCTGCTCTGCTAATTCTTCTCGTGCCATGAATATGTTCTGTCCTTATGTCTTCTTTCAAACTTTGTGTTTTTAGTTCAGTTGTATAATAACTATTCAAGATACTGTAGACTGGCAAATAATCACAATGGTTTTACATTCGCTATGTTCGCGATTTATCATGTTTCCGCTTAATTGTGAATTTGAATTCGATTTGAATGAGAATACTTTAATAATATATTCTATTCAAGATCTTCATATGCTGATACATTTGTATGAGAGCTTTTTAATTGCATCAACAGCGTTTGATTTTGAACTTTCTCTTGACCTTGATGTCACTTTTCATAAATAGGTGTTTATATCAGTCTCAAAGAAACAATTCAAAATATTTTCATCAAACCTTATTCTTTTTATGCAAAAACGTACTGGAATGAGCTATTCAGCCTCATCAGGATTTTATAATTTTTTGTACATTGACTTCCCTTTTCGCAATTAAATGACTCTTAAAGCTGAGTTTCTAATATATTACATGTATTGTAGATATTTTATCAAACCTGAATGATTTGCTAAAACATAAAAATAAAAGTATTTCAACTTAATGGACATTTATAAGCCTTGACCTTTCCTTTAACCTTGACCTCACTTTTCTCAATGTTGTATTCAGCTCAGTTTTTAAGAAATGAGTTGCTTGGGATTTTTCGTTTTAAACATGTTCAATAAGGTTATCAAGGTTTTGATCCTGATGGATTTAATTTACAAGTATATCAGAAATAGAGTGTTTTATCTTTTCTGTCCTTATGTCTTAATTCTTTCTACCTTTGTTAATCACATCATTTTTCATCGATAAAAAAGAAAACTATACAACGCAAGCATATAAATTTATTTATTGCCATTCCTTTCAGATTATGACAATATAAAACCCGAAAACGACGACCAAGGAGCATAAGCAAATTCCCCTTCTGTTCCATATGTTTTTATCCAGACCTTGTCATTTTTCTTCATTTTTATAATTGCTTTGGCGGATCCTGAAGAGAAAGTCTTACTCCCATTCTTTCCGTCTGCACAGTTGTATCCAAGGATATTATCAGTATCATTCAGAACAATATTTGTATTAAACCTCTTCCCAGCTGTTGTCAGAATGGTCCATGTAAACGAATAGATCCCATTTATGGAATAACCTACCATTACATGTAAAATTATCACCAACCTTACCTATTTTTAGACAAAATGTAGAAAAAATTATAATTAGCCAACGTCTGTAAATAAATGTTTGAATATGTCCTTTGTACAAGGTGTTTGATTATTACTATTGTTTAAGACAATGTCTCATGAACAATTAATATTGACTTCTTATTTTGAATCTACATCTCTTTTAGCTGTACATTACATTTAATTATTCATGCATTAACGAACTCTACATGTTTTATCTTTGATTGTATCATTTTATGTAATATGTTATTTGAAATTAGAAGGCCCCGGGGAAGAATAGTACCTTGTACTAATCGGGTAACCTTCTCTAAATAAAGCATTATTATTATTATTATTATTATTATTATTATTATTATTATTATTATCCCTGGGGAATTTCCCCGTTTTACCATTATAGGCGGATCCAGAATTTTCAGTAACTGTTCCAAATACAACAACGACATTATTTCCGAGGTTTCGCACTTCACTTGACATTTGGGCATGAAATGAGATTATATCTATTGGAAGAAAAAATGCAATTGCGAATGATCACGTAATTACGTTATTCAATTTTACCTACAGTTTTTTTAACAACATTCTTTTTTAGAAGAAATTCATTCTTTTTGAGTATACAAAACAAAATCACAATGCGAAAACCTGCATACTGCCATTTGACCAAGCATTTGGACATAAAATGGGGAAGACAGATTCTTTTTCAATTCATAATTTCCATTGACAATTGCACATGATGAACTTTTTGACATAGCAACCTGAGATGTTTCATTTCTAGAACTGTAAGGGCATTTAATTTCAACAAGTCCTTTTCTACAACACTTGCATTCAGAAATGCCATCAGGGGATGCAGCGAAGAAAGGGAAATCTTTGTAAACATAGATTCCTGTCTCTGAACACTTAAATGAAGGATGACAACTTGTCATGTAATCAGCATATTTCTCTCGAGCAACAGATTCATTTCGTTTTCCATATTCGACTGATTTTGAGGTGAAATGATACTGACCCATAATACTTCTTACAATGTAGTTGTCTGCTTTGTTACCTCTGTAGTGATAGGCATTGAAGAAGTTTGAAGCAGTCAGTCTACCTTTTCTCTGGTACTGCCACATAAGGTTAATGGATTGCCCTTTTGTGAATTCATTTACTTTTTTAACATAAGAATCGTCTACTTTTAAATTTTCTTGACCATGTATAGAAATTAGATCAATAATATTTTTAGGTGTGTCCTCAATACCCATAGATACATCATTTCCATCATCAGAATCCGAAAGTGTATACAAGGCCACTGCTGGTGTATTGCTTTTTTTAAGTACTTGAATAATATTCTTCTCTAAAGACTTTAAATCCAAATCTGATGGCTGAAGTGGCAAATATCCAGAATCTTCCGACGGTCGTGGTCTATCTGGTACGCTCGTGTCAATCCTATAATATTAGAAATATCAAATTTAAGTAATGTTTAAAATGCTTAGATAATGCACATTGTATCTACATATATTCCAAAATGGTTATAAGATTGTGAGGGAGAGATTTTGACTTATTTTAAAATATACCAGTACATAAACCAAATATTAACTCAATGTTCTATTGTATATCAATATTATCATACATCCACAAAACAGCATTCTTTGATGAGAACCCAGTACAGTATGGTCAATACCTGATATCCAAGTCATGAACAGCTACTGGCCTGCATACTTTTCTTGGTTTATTCCAGTATGCTGCGGTATCTGTGACACCAATGGTACCTCGGTCTTCCATCGATGTGACGTGATCAATAATGCCAAATAGGAGGGCAGCAACATGTTTGCAGGACCCATCCCCTCTGTTTAAAATTTTTTTTATAATTATATTTTTGTATAGAATAAAAATTATTAAGTTAACTTCAAATTTGCTTATTTTCACATTTTTAATATTCACAAAAAACTTCAGCAGGAGTCTCTTAAAATTCTAATCAAACTTTAAGCACAATCAAGAAGATTTATTTCAAAAATGAGAAGAAATTGAAACTTACGCAACACACGTGCATTCTGCTGAAAATATATGTCCTGACTTTTCAACCAGAATCCATGGAATATAGGGATCATTCGACTGCCTTGTTTCAGGAACACACTTTCCTTTAATGAAACACATGTCTTCACCTAAATTTAAATAGTAAACAAAGTTTTAAAAAACATTCTTATTTGCTATTATTCTAAATAAATAAAACTTAGGAATTGAGTTATAGTGTAACTTGAAGTGCCTGTGATAAATATTGGTTTGTTACTTAAATGCACAAAATTTTTTTTTAAAGAAAGCTATCTCATATACATGCAACCCAGGCACAAATCCAGGAATAGAAGTGAGGGGGGGGGGCACCAAAAGTAGGCAAGAGGTCTGGGGGCCGCCTTAATTGAGGAACCCAGTGGGTCCAGGGCAAAGCCCTGGTGGGGGCTCAGGAGGCAAAACCCCCGGAAGCTCCTGGATTCTAAAGATTTTATAGGGTAAAAATGAGGTTTACCAAGTATACATATTTACATTTTCTAGACGAAACTGTGATTTAAGTTAATTTTGACAATGCAGGTGCGCCCCCCTTAAATCTGCCACTGCAACCTGGTGACAGCAGATGGTTAAATGGCGGTGTGACATGCATGGCATGTGAAAGTACGTGGACATGGATGGAATTATGATGATGATGACTTACTATGAGCATGTTGATGTTGAAACATGTAGCAAAAGATTTCAGTACAAAAATGCTTGATTTTTATAACCAACAGCTGATCAAGTCAATTATGCAAGTCCTAATGTCAAATTCTAAAAAAAGGTCAGATTTTGAAACGATCTGATTAGAATACAGATCTCTACATCATGTACATAGCGCAACCTACCTAAGATAGCCATTACGACATCATATATGTGTCCAGAGCAATGAAGCTTATATCCACTGTCGGATTTCCTATTACGTAATCGCTCTACAGACCAGCCACAGTAGTTTTGTAGAAACGACGACACGTCAAATGCATCTATAGATGGAATAATGGCCAGATTTGGAGTCCAAGCGATGCTATTATCATATGGGTGTGGATATGTTTTTCCACGGACCGTTCTTCTTCTAATGGAGGCCTGATTATCAACATCATTGTGACCGATATCTGGCAAATTTAACGCCTCTGCTCCCTCGCATAAATCAACTAAGTCTTTCTTATTTCTATTTGAAAAAGGAATACCTTTTGATTTCAATATAGTCTTTAGATCGGCGCACTGTAAATGCTGATAATTCGTCGCCATCACAGCTAAAATTTTGTCCCAGGGGACACGACTAAACGCGCCTCTAAACTGAAGAGCGCCGTAATGGAAATATGTAGTATTCTAAACTAAACTAGTGCTAATTGTAACGGGGACCGTTACAGATGTTCCCCAAACGCTCCCCAACTCCCTTTTGGTGCCATATTCCCTGTAATCTCTATTAAATAAGAAATACTTAATGGAATTTAAACTTATCAAGGTCTTCCCAAAAGAATACAAAATATATTTAAATTTAAGCATTGTACGCTTGTTCATGTGCGTAACAGCCATATTATCTTGTCTACACTATCTATATATTTTAATATACTTGATATCAAAGATGTTATCCAAAAGTATTAAAAAATACACTAATTCGAGTGTATTTTTAATTTTACTCATTTCACGTGCACGCACGTGCAAGCAAAGGCATGATGAATACACCTTCTTGTAGGAGTCCCTTATATTTATCTATGTTCTAAATCCCATTCTGTTTGGTTAAAAAACAAGGGAGTTATAGCCATTTGAAGTTTCAGCCAATCAGATTGCAGCACACATGCATGCGCGTGATTTCATGATTTTTTTTATCTTAATCGTATTGAAGGATATCTTAATGAATGACTATATTTAAAATTCCAAACATTTCGTCAAAAAACAAAATAAATATAGCCATTTAAAGTTTCAGCCAATCAAATTGCAGCACACGTGCATGCGCGTGATTTCATGATTTTCTTTCTATATCGTATTGTAGGATATCCTACTGCATGACCATGTTTTAAATTTCAAAACATTTCGTCAAAAAACAAAGGAGATATAGCCATTTAAAGTTTCGGCCAATCAGATTGCAGCACGCACGCATGCGCATGCTTTCATGAAAATTTTTATATATCATGCTGTAGATCTTCATAATTTAAGACTTTGTTCAAAATTTCAAAAGATTATGACAAGAAACATGAAAAATATTGAGACTAGTTTCAGCCAATCAGAGCGAAGCGCACGTGTATGCGCGTGAGATCTTGCTATTTTGACCATGTCATCATGTCTATACTACTAATATATCCTTATATTATGAGTTTCAAAGCATTTCATCAAGAAATAGAAAAGTTGCGGCTATATCTATTATATTAGTCATTTCACGTGTTGCACGTGCGCGCTCTTGCAAGCACGTGCGCGAGGAACATGTCATTATGCATATACAACTAATATATACTTATATTATGAGTTTCAAAGCATATAGTCAAAAAATGGAAAAGTTACGGTTATATCTATTATACTGGTCATTTCACGTGTTGCACGTGCACGCTCTTGCAAGCACGTGCGCGGAAAATGACCTTGATTCCGCAAATCTACATAACATGTCTACTAACCCTAAAAAGGTTTTACCTACTTCGGATGAACAGTTTACAAGATCACTCGCGGACAAAAAAGTACCCAGGAAGAAGAAGAAAAATAATAATAACTAGATGCGTTCTTGTTGCTAAAGCAACAAGCGGTCTTCCGACCGACTTTTCGTAAGAGTTCTATGCTGCGTCATCCCATGAAATAGATTTCAGAATGTATTTTTTTGTTTACGTTTATTCACAGCAGTCTCTCAACATACATCATGATAATTACAGGTATTCCTCAAAATATCTCAGAAAATAGCTTTTAAAAATCGGTAAAATATTCCATACGTGTTATAAATGAGATAAAAGTCATTTGCAACTGAAAAAAGACATAAACAAAGAGATATTTTTAAACGCCTCCGGCGGGATTCGAAACCTCGACAGTAGGACAAAGTTTAGTTCGGTCATATCTTCTCAATATATGCACGCATCAAGATACTGAACATATATTTAGAGTTCTCATACGGCACTCTATTAACCCCGTAAATCCTAAAGAAAAATATCAAAAAACAAAAAAGTTGAAAAATGGGACTTTTTGAAGTCACTTCCGTTTGCGACCGGAAGTGCCGACAACGAAAAATAAAGGTCGTTCACCATAACGGAGTTCGATGTTCTATCACCTCAGTGAGTTTCACTTTGATATCTTAAGCCGTTCTCGAGAAAACTTTTGGACAAAATGCCATTTTAAAAATACAAAAATCCCCAAAAATCGCGAACAAAAGTGAATTTTGAAAAAATGAAAAACACGTCTGGAGATATTCACATAATGCACTATCCCTGTCAAAATATTTGAAATCCGTTCACGCATAGCTGAGATATCGGCTGTACTATGAAGAAAGAATAATAATAATAATAATAGAAAACAGAAGAAAAACAATAAGGTCTTCCGAAGGAAGTCGGAAGACCTTAATAAAAAACAGAGTAAAAACAATATGTTCCCCAACTTCGTTTGGGGAACATAATTAAGCTCTTTTCAGACGATCGACTTAAATATTAAACTCAGCAATTTTGAAAACATCCAATTAAAAAATAGCCAGACAATTTGCTCTATTTAATTGAGACTCATTTTATTCAAGTGATAGATTATGAATACAATCACTCTTAATTCATGCATCAGGCACGTACTATCGATTTTGAAAGTATGTGGCATTACTCAGATAGACATAACTTCAGAGGCGAAAAAGGAGAGACAGCTTATAAAAAAATAAGTTTAACAGTTAAAAATTATGTTTGGAAAAAAGTGACCCTCCCACTCCTTGATGCTACGTGCCTGTTCATCATTTTGTTTATTGACAAACAAGTTACCTCTTTCACATCCTTTGCTGGAATTTCTCTTGAAACCCATTCCTCGACAAACTTTATTATACGTATTGAATTTCTTGAGAAAATCTTTTGTGTCAGCTTCTGCATTTACTCCAGATAGCAGGAAAGTGACAAGGATCAGCTTCAAAAACTGTAATCTGTTAAAATATTGATGTATGTACTCAAACTCATAAGTGATTTAACAAAATTGTTCAATATCAAAAAGGTTAGTTTCGCAAATCAATTAATAATGAACTTCAAATACTCACATGTACATTGTTTTTCAAATAGATTTCCTCTATAGAATGTACAAGGTATTTGCATTTAATCAGATTTCAAATAGTATATTTATATATTTTAGTACATACATTTAGGTCATTAAAATGTAATATTAGTTGAAAAATATATATTGATTTTGACTAACATGATATATTATTTCAATGACTTCTACTTATATAAACTTTCTAATCATTTATTTCTTTTTTAACACAATGTTCACTCGGTTATTGTAAATAACATTACAGAGTAAATAATTGTAAAATAATCTAAGAGACACATTTAATTTTTATTGAGAAACTCTATTCAGGTTTAAAGGTGACTGTGTATTTAAATATACACATATTTTATATATCCTCTTTCCATACATGCTTCCAAAATAAAACAAACTCACATGTGTGTTGAAAAGGTTTATTGATTAAATTATGATAATATTTTGATAAGATCAAATCATAATATCGTACAAACTATACAGTTCAAGAATGATAAAATGGATTTTACAATGTAGGCCGGTATATGCAAATTATAAGAGAAGTTACAGTAGTGCAAAAATAGGATTTGTCATTTGAATGTAAATTAAGAGGCATTCGTAATCAGCTATTATGTCACACATTTAATACAACTAGAGGAATTGTGAGCGATGAGCTCACTAAATAATACCCCCCGCCTCCATATGGTTATAATGGCAAAGTCCATGTTTTGCTGTAGCCGGTAAACCCAAAATATGTGTCGGATCAAAAAATAAAATAGGAGGTGCACAATGGTAATATGTATTAAAGATTCTGTGAAAGTTTCATCAAATTCCATTCAGTGGTTTGAGAGGAGTTGCGGATAAGAGATGGGTACCCCAAAGCGTAACAGACGGACGGAAGGACGGCTGGACAGACGGACGGACGGACGGACGGAATTAACGATTACTATATACTCTCCCGCTTTTCAAGCGGAAGGTATAACTATTAGAATAATAGTAAAATTACAGGAAAAAATTATGCTTTAAATCCACAAAATTGTATCACATAATGAATTCCATAAAGTATGAAGCATGCACCAAAAGCTATAAATGATAAGTTTATTTACCGGTACACAAAATTACATGTATTATATATTCCGGTGTGCGGTTGGTATATTTGATATTAAAATCCACCCATCTCTAGTGTCAATTCGACAATCTTTTTAAAATACGGATTGAAAGTTATCTCAAGCATTAATTTGTGCACACTTGTGAGAGAAATTGAGATTCAACCTTTCTTGAAAGCCACCACAATCAGTGTTTGCTATGTTCAAAATGTAATCTCCGTGTGTGTTCGCATTACTGAACACATTGGCAGAAAATTAAAACATGTAATCTTATGAAATCCAGGGCAAATATGGCTGAAAATATGACGGAATATCATTTTATATTTTACATTATATATATATAAACTCTATGTAATAGTGATATACCACTTTTAAAGCGGAATTTATGTTTCCCCTAACCCTGCTTATTAAAAAATAGTATCCAAAATTATCGATTTATCATTTATTTATTTTTGGTGATACAGATTACATGTATTAATAAGCAATGTGATTGTTTTGTGCCTTGTCATGAGTATTACTAGGGCATATATATGGTTTGTCTCATGTTTTGTTCCTAAATTCTTCAATCCTTCTGCCTCAATCACTTTCAGATAATTGTGTTCAGCCGAGTTGCAAGGAAAGTATTAATTATGAATTTTAACAAGCTTCATATTTAAGATGTTTTTTATCAAACTGTAAAAATTGATGAGAGCTATTCAACTGTGTAATTTTTTTTTTTTTACTAAAAATTGACTCTGACCTGGTTTTCTCATTTTCATGTTTAGCTTAGTTTGAGAAAAACATTTTTTTTTATCAAACTTAATATACTGATACATTTTAGAGGGTGCTTTTTTATTGTTTAACTTGTTACAATTGTCTTAAACATCAATAGCATACTCAGTCTGGATTTGTTTTAGTCAGATCCATTTGTTTACACACATTCCTTTAATTTCTCTGACTTTCATTTCATCATGTTCAATTCTTGTGATTCATTGTATCAATATGTATACACAAAATATAGGCGTTGGAATCCAGGGGTTGGAGCTGGGCATATCCCTTTCTGCAAAGATAGACATTTACATTACCTGGTAAAACTTCTTATACACGTCACTATCTTTTTAAAGAAAATCTAATTATATATATGAAAGATGATACTGGCAAATATTCATGTTCGCTTGTCAACACGTTTCGTAGCTGCAGAAACTGCAGTTAGGGTAAGTCACTCCTCAAATTTGTTATATCAAGGAATTTTTGGGAAGTATATTTTGGATAAGTACTCATATAGTATTATTCAAAATCGCAGATAGGGGTCAGTGTGCATCTTACTGATCTATGGTTCAATTAAGTTGACTTTTTTGCACTTAAATTTTAACTCTTTGATTTATTACTTTATCTCTAATTTTAATTTATCAGATGTAACTACGTTAATAAATTTAATCTTATTTTACATAAAATAGTTTGAATAATATTTATCGTTGAACAAATCTTGCAAATTAATGCGTGTTTATTATTGTGTGACCTTTTTGCACTAAAAAATAACATCTCTGGGGTATTAAAAAACTAAATAGGCAATCAAATATTTTCTTATATCAAGCTTTTTAGGAGTTAAGTGCTGATCAGTCACAAGTATCAAGTAGTTAAAAATAATGAAAGAAAAAGTTGGGGTCAGTGATGTTAATTTTGAAATATGGTCAAAATATGTGATTTTCAGGCAAAAAATGGTGTAAATTTTATTTTGACTTCTTTAATATATCTTCATTTCTTGGCAAAGTTTGTTGAGGGAAGGTGTAAAACTTGTTCTAAAAATATAAATTAAGACCTTTATTAAATATTGCTGCAAAATCACAACGGAAAATATTCCCCGAGTAAAAGTATGTGAGGCCAAAGTTTCAAGACATTAAAATTAATAAATGTGCAGATTTGCAGAAATTTCTGCTGAATATCCTTCCACCACAAGAAATAGTCCCTCATAAATCTTGCTTCTTTGTAGATTTTTAAGCAGTTTTTTCGATGAATGTTAAAAAAATTTACATTGTTGACTATAAATATTTTATAAAAATTGAATTTTCATAAATATTTTTTAAGTAAGAGGTTCTGCGTGAACTTTTCTTAAAAGCTGACAAGTGACTTACCTTAAGGGTTTCTGATACGCTTATATCCTCATACGCAATTTGATATGAGGAAAGTGGTGTATCATAAACCTTTGGTAAGCAAAGTTGGCAAATTTTCCCTTCTGGTAAAATGGCAGTACAGTGGTCATGCATACCTGATTCTATTTATTGTAATAAATACGTGTATCCATGTTAAGTAATAACATTTTAAGAGTTGAAAGTGACAATGATATTTTATTGAAGTATCCCATTTACCAATACTCCCAATTATGAGAATAAATTGAACGTAAAATTTTCGGAATTGAACATATACTCGCCAACACTCCGGTTGGCCTATTGGTATTTAGGCCAAACGACACCAAGGCTCAGACAAATCTGCCCAAGATTTAAGACAGCTAGGTCGGTCCATATATAAAGAACAGCTCGACCCAAGCAAACAATTGTAGGAAATACACAGCATATGTTCATTGTCAGACCAAAATACTAAGTCGCCATACTTTTCCATTTGATTTTTTTTAGATTGATACTCTGTTTTGTACTATGATTTATTTTTCAATATAACATGATTAAAGTTTATCTAATAATTATTATTTGACCCCTTTATCTGTTTCATTTGTAATTATGATTTTATCTTCCTTTGAATTGTCAACGGCAGACAGGCCTTTATTTCCTCTTGATATTATTGAAAGACAAGCTGTTTTGCTTGGGAATATTTTTTTAATATGATCTTTAAATATATCAAGGTTTTGACCTCTACTCCCTGATGGATTTACTTTTTAAGCACAATAGATTCATCATTGAATTCCTAGCCCAGAAAAAACTTCTATAAAGTTCTTCAAATTCAATTAGGAAAATGAGATTGTATTTTTAATTATTCTTATTTATTAATTAAATTGACCCATGAGTATATATATTATACACTGCTCATTTGATATGAAGTTAACGTTATTCTTTAGAAGCATATAGTTTTATTTTATTCCGTTTAAAATCATCACAATTTAAATCCCGAAAAGGAGGACCAATGACCGCAAACCCAGTTCCCGTCCTTTCCATTCGTTTTTATCCAGACCTGGTCATTCTTCTTCATTTTTATAATTGCTGTGGCGGATCCTGATGAATATTTAGTTTTACTTTGACTTCTTCCGTCAACATAGTTGTATCCCACGACATTACTAATGTCATTGAGAACTATATTTGTATTAAACATCCTTCCAGGTGCTGTTAAAATGGTCCATGTAAATGAGAAGATCCCATCCTGAGGCGCCGTGAATTTTCCTGTCGTACCATTATAGGCGGATCCAGAATTTTCGGTTACTGTTCCAAACACAACGACGGCATTATTTCCGAGGTCTTGCATATTACTTGCAGTTCTGGCGTGAAATGAGGTTATTGCTATTGGAAGAAAATATGCTCTTGTGAATGATTATGTATGCAGTTTATTTACAAGTTAACTGCTTTTGTCAGATAATCCATACCTAAAATGAAGCTTTTTTCAGACGATTAATTTACATTCAGCTCAGAACTATTCAAAATATTTCATTAAAAAAAGGTAAAAACCAACAAAAATTTCATTAGCTTTTCGAGTCTCAATTAATTATTTTGTAGATTATGAATAGAAACACTCTGAACTTGCATCAGGCACGTAATATCGTTTGTGGACACCATAGAATTGCCTATCATACCTAAACAAATAGATTAAGAAAGAAAAGAAAAAAAATCATGTTAAAGGATGGGGTTGGGTGGGAGGTGGGATGTTCTTACTTATTCCTAACCAAATTATAACCACATTACTCCGATCGACTTTACTTCAGAGTCGGTCAACGGTGAAAGAAGGAGGGGAGGGGCTTCAACAGAAATTTTCAACAGTAAAAAGTAGTTTGGAAAATAAGTGAACCCCCTCCCTGATGTTACGTGACTGCTTATCATTTTGTTTATTAACATTATTATGTTACCTCTCTCACGTCCCTTACAGTTATTTCCCTTGAAACCCATTCCTCGACACACTTCATTATAAGTATTGAATTTCTGTAGGAAATCTTTTGTGCCTGATTCTGCATTCGCCCCTAGCAGCTGGAAACTTACAAGAAACAGCTTCAAAAACTGGTATCTGTTACAATATTGAAATAATTACTTAAATTTATCAGTGATCCATTGAAATTGTTCAATTAAAAAAAAAAGATCATAAGGTTTTAAATGTATGAAAAGAGACTCACATGTACATTGCTTCTCAAATAGATTTCCTCTGTATATTATAAGAGATTGCGCATTTATTCAATTTAAGTCCAAGTACTATTTATATATTTTACTATTTATATATTGTATGTTTATATATTTAAGGACATTAAAATGTAACATAAGTTGAAATATACTGTTATATATTGATTTTGACTGTCATGATATATTATTTCAATAATTTTAAATGTTAAAAATCACAACAACTTATACATGTATATGTTCTTTTCATTTGTTTCGCAATGTTATTGTGAGTATTATGTTAAAGTGAATCATTGCAAAATAAACATTTTTTTATTCGTTTCTTTTAATATAGAAATTTTACTCATGTCTTAGAGTACATGTAATACAGTGTATATATACTAGTACATGCATTGTATTGATTATACCTATTACATTTTAATATACAGATTATATCTTTGATATGAGATCCAATGCAAGACAAATAATTCAATAATTTAAACTCATAAATATAAATTAGCTTTGAATAAAAATTATTGCTGATTTTTAAACAAGTATCATTTGAGTTCTTAAATTAAACTCGTTTAAGCGATTTCTGAAAGCGATAAAACATGAATTTGCTTAAAGTTTGAACAAATATTAATTTCCTTTACGGATTATATTCTTTAAATCACATTACAGACCTAAATGTTGGCCTTATAAGAAAATATGTATACTCTCGATATAAAGAAATTGCAATTTCGTTATGTAATATATCATTTTAAAATATGATAGGTCTTTGATGAGTTTTCAAGAAGAGGTCACGAGGTTATTTTATCTGACTTGTATAGCAAGCTGTTAAGCTACTATTCACATATTTTTATGGATATTTCCGTTTCCAGATCAAGACAGTTAAGGAGCACACGGCGGGTGTGACCGATCAACAGATTTATTTAATTTAATGGGACTTTTTAACCATACTCAGAGACGTGAGCGTAGTCATGGGCATCGTTCGTACAATAAACCTGCAATACACGACGTTTCTTTTGATTCATTACTACCTTATGTAAATCAACAATTAGGCCTACATCATATTCGAACAAAAATTTACTCTGTACCTTTTAAACATCTAAATAGTCTTCTTGAAAAGGCCAAGGAATATCCAATTTTAGATTCCTCGTAACCTGAATATAAGCTCGGATCTGTGATTATGGATATTGAATATCATATCCTTTTTAAACCCATACCTTTCACGGAAGAAAATGCAGCTAAAACAATCTGTCCTTTCCTTAAACTTCAATATGCCAATAAAGGAATTGAAGCGGTTATTAATATAAGTAATATTCTTAATCACAAAAGGGTCCAGTCTTGTATTCCACCATTTTTCAAGTTAAAAGGTAGACTACACCTTGTATTTCCTACAAATAAACATCGACCAATGCTTCCAAACTTTTCAATTACGAAAACACTTTACATTGCCTTGATACCGACTATCTGAAAAATAACCCCCCTTCGTATTCATGTTCTTCTTCGCCATATAACTATAGTCCTGCTGGACACGTTATTACAGGTGACGTAAATCAGATCCATGTTAAAGTCACGTATTAAAAGATTGAAGGGCAAATTGAAAACCATCCATCCTTCTGTGTTCAATAAACCAGAAGTGGAAAAAGAATTAGATAGATTACACGATCAATACGTACTGGTTCCTGCCGACAAAGCAGGTAACAAGATTGTCTTCGTATGTAAGGCTCATTATATAAATTGCATTCTACAAGTCTGCAAGTGGTAATCCTACTTATACTCATACTTACCTTTCTAAGGAAGAAAATTCTTCAAAATCACCTGTCAGTTTTGAATACTTTAAATATTCCACAGAGCCAAAATGAATTTGAACTACCTTATATATATCGGATTTCGAAACTTCATAAGAATCCTTACAAATAAAGAATACATTAAACTTCATAAGAATCCTTACAAATAAAGATACATTGCAGGTTCCAGTAAATGTTCAACCAAGCCTCTTTTGTTACTCCTCACTAAGATATTGACAGAAGTGAAGGAAAAACTTCAAGAGTACTGTGCAACTATATATTCAAGAAGTGATGTGAATCAGATGTGGAATCCGATACTAAAAAATTCTTAAGAACTTTTGGACAATTTGAAATCACAAGACTTCTTAAAAATCAACAGCTTAAAAACTTACGACTTTTCAACTTTATACACAACAATTCCCCACGACAAATGAAAATCCAGGCTTTTGGATATTATTGACAGCTGCTTCTTCAATAAAAATGGAACTCGTAAATTTACTTACCTCGTCATTGGTAATTTGCAAAATTATTTCGTTAAACAGATTCTGATTGCATATATAAGTACTCTGATGTTGACATCAAGAAGGTGCTTGAGTTTTAATTGACAATACATGTATATATTTGGTTTTTGGAGACCAGGTATTCCAAGAATCTATTAAAATTCCCATGGGTACAAATTGCTCTCTGTTATTAGCAGACTTATTTTTATATTAATATGAAGCAGAATTTATGCAAAATCTTATGCGTGAAAAGAAGAAAACACTTGCTATGTCCTTCAACTCGACATTTAGATATATCGACGGCGTATTGTCAATTAATAATGATAATTTCCATTCCTACGTCGATACGATATATCCTGGTGAACTTGAGATAAAATATACCATAGAGTCTGACTCTTCTGCTTCATATTTGGAAATTTTACTTGATAAAGACATTAATGGTAATCTAACAACCAAGCCATATGATAAACGTGATGACTTTAACTTTTCTATCGTCAACTTCGTTACTTATGCAGCAATATACCTTCATCACCTGCATACGGAGTATATATACCTCAGTTGATTCGATACGCAGGAGCATATTCTACGTATCAAAAATTTCTTAAACGAGGTAAATTATTGACAAGCAAGTTGATGAAACAAGAATATCAGCAGTCTTGTTTAAAGTCATCATTTCGTAAGTTCTATGGTCGATACAATGACCTTGTCAGCAAATACAATTTATCATTGAGTCAAATGCTGACTGACATTTTTCATACCAATTGTTAGTCCATTTTTATACACTTTTTTATACAAATTGACGACGGATGTTTTTCCCGTTATTTCCTGATCATGACAACGAGCAGATGGCGGGTGTGACCGGTCAACAGGGGATGCTCACTCCTCCATGGCACCTGATCCCGCCTCTGATGTTTCGGAGGTCCGTGTTACTCGGCTCTTATTTTGTATTGTTTAATGGATTTTGAGATTGAATACTGTTATTATCTCCATATCCTTTCCTTACTCCTCCTTGTCACTTGATTCCACATTGATGTTTTTACACGACCACATATGCCGAATGCTCTCCATTTTGCATTTTTCCAATGGACCTTTGAACTTGATTTCTGTGCAGTATTTTCACCAAAAATGTGTTCTCTGTTGTTCCCATAGATCATATACATACAATAATTAAGATTGCATATATCACGAATGACAAATAAACTGCTTTCATTACTAGTGGCCAATCAGCTTTTATCAGGTGGAAGGTAAATGGAAGCTGGACCAGAGATTAATTAAGGATTCCATGATGACCTCACAGAAATTAATCGTCATCAATATCAAATTCCAAGTGTGCAGGCCGTTAGCAATCACTTAAAAAAAAAAAAGAATGACATTTTAATAGGTTGTGGGTATTATGGAGCAATCACTTTGAAAAATTATGAATGACTCTTTAGTTCCAGATTTTATGGAGCTTACAGAAAATTTTGCATTAAAATCTGCCGAAAGAGCGATGAAAATGTAAATCTACGGAATGTATTAAGAACATTTTTATTCCGTTCGGTCATATTTTTATTCATCGCCAAAATCCCTAGACAACACAAAATCCGGAAATATGTCACAGGATAGAAGGATTTGAATACTCTGTCAGATGTGACGTGAGTCTTCTCTCCATACGATTACCTTTAATCAAATAAACCAATGAAAAATTAAAATATTGTTTCAGTATAAGAATGAAGCTTGTCCATTGGTGTTATATGAAGGCTGTAATCGTCATCTTAGAACCAAACATGATTTTTTGACATCATGTGTAGATATTTAATAATGTATATTGAGGCTACCTTAACAAACTATTTATTCTGGATGGTTTTATTAGTCATTATTTTACTGGTAATAAGACCTTCGTGTGATCCAGTACCGAGGAATATCAAACACATTGGAACTAGATCCAGTACCTAGGAATATCAAACACATTGGAACTAGTTAAAAATGCACCACTTGGTGTACATACAAAAACAGATCATAATAGACTTTGATATGGAATTGAAATGAAATATTGTGCATTCTGTGTTTAAGAGGTCCGATCCCGAGCTTTTGAGCAGAGTTTGGTCTGGACCTTTATTATATGTTTGAAACATCTGCTTAAATTTGTCGAAGAGTTGAAGACTATAGAATAACTTTCTTGGATATTATTTTTAAAATGCCAGGAAAATCACAAAGGTAAAATAATTCATTGTCTTTTTAAAAATAGACTGTAGTGTTAAAGAAGCATGTTGACCCCCATTTTCTGAATTGTTTTTTAATTCAGCTATGTATGTAGAAAATAAAAATGTACATGACAAAAATGTTTGACTTTAAATATCAGGAGCTTACCTCGTTAAGTCTTCTCTTTTTACTTTATATAAGTATATTTAAATAGACGGACCATTTATTAACTCAATATTAATTTCGGTATAAGCATGCATATGGGTTTGACTGTTACCTTTTATTTTTACATGTTTTCAAGTGAATTCGTACACGTATCTTTGTTTTAAGGTGACTTCGTACACGTATCTTTTATTTAAAGCACAAACTGTTTTTTTTATTGATAATTCAGAGAATATTTGTATTACCGTAAACCATTATTCGTACGTTGATACCGTGAA